CAACAGGGTCGTGTCTGCCTTCTATTCCTTTTCCTCCAAAGTAAAACAACATCTAGGCAACTGCTGCTCTGGCTGCCTGTTAAAGCTGCATCCCTTTCATCTGCCATTCGAATGTTAGATTTCAAGGCTCACATCCAGGCATTCCTCTCTTCCCTTCTCATTTCTAGAAATAGACTTCAAACACTAGCAAGTAACTCTTGCATGTGTCCATTGTCCCTCTCTAATGTCTCCTCTTAGCCCAGATCTGCTTACCAGTGATACTTTCACTTGTGGTATAAGGGACAGAAAAAGGGGCATCAAGCTGTACTCAGTGGCATGCACTGGCAATCCCACCACTAGGGAAGTTGAGGAGTGAGAATCTGTGAGTTTGAGACCAACCTAAGCAACATAATGAGACCCTATCTTGAAACTAAAGAAAATAAAAGGCGCCCCATGTGCCTGGTAAATTTCTCTAGAAGTCACAAGCCCTATATAACATCAGCAGGGCCTTCACCCATAATGGGGCTGCATATATGGTACTTTTAACTCCAAATCTCAGAAGGCAGACTGACCTACATGTACAGCTGCCTTGAGACCTTAACCACTGCTCAGTACTGGTAATTAACACTAGAAGCCAATAGAGGATTCTCTTGTTCCCTTGATGCATTAAGTAGTTCATCTTGGTATTGAAAATGGGACCCACTTGACCTAATTTTTTTCATTTATTATTTTAACACTAAGAAACATTATATCTGGCACTTTGGCTAAAAATGTGAAGCTGTCTTTATGAGAACTATACCATAATTGGAGACAGATATCAAGCAAATAAGTAAAATAACACATAAATAAATGACATGAATAAATGAATTCTAGAATGGAGAATATGGTACAAGCTGGACACTATCTGTGCACCTCTTTACATATGTGTTAAATGTTTATTAAAAGCTTTAAACAATACTGTCAATTATGAAATCTATACATTGGAGACAACTTTAAAAGCCAATTCATTTATGTTCATAAGGACACCAGAATTCTAGGAGGTCACATGAGTAGCTTTCCTTAGGAAGTCAGCTGTGCTGGTTTGTTTTTTGTTGTTGTTGTTGTGTTGGTTGTTTTTTTTTTTTTTTAACTGTCAATTAGATACAGCCTAGAGTTAATTGGGTCAATGCAATGTCAATGGAAAACCTGCCTTATCAGATTGGCTAATTGTGTTGACTGATATGGAGAGCCCTGGCCACTACGGGCAGCAACATCCCTAGGCAATTGGGCCTGGGCTAGATAAGCCAGCCGAGCTCTGTTTAGAGAGCAGGCAGTAGTCCACAGTTTCTGCAGCAGTTCCAGCTTCTAGTTTCCTGTCTTGAGTTTCTGCCACGGTCTCCCTGGGTGATCAACCCTTACCTAGAAATATAATCTGAAGTAAATCCCTTTCTCCCCAAATTGCTTTTGGTCATGGTGTTAATCACAACAACAGGGAAGCAAACCGGAACATCAATTATGTAAACTGAATGAACTCTTTGTTGTTAGGCTTTATTCCTCAAGATCTAATTGCTCTTAAGTCCTAGACCATCTCACCCATTCCTGTTTACCCTCCCATTCCTAGCATACAATCATTTGCTAATATCTCGCCACCATCACTGTGACTAATGGGTCTAGTAATAAAAATCTACCCACATCTGAAAGGTACAACTGCAAAGCCCATGTGGCTTTCCTCTGCCATACAGACCTAAGCAAAGTCCTCTCTACATCTCTTGGGCCTTCATCATCACTTACCCTGAACTGTTATCCCTTACGCTCCTTAAAATTGAGCACATACGCTTTGCGGGTAGAAAACGCATTGTGCTACTATGCCTCGGTAGTTTCTAGTTCTAATGAATAACCAACCAGTGCCACAGCAAACCAGAGGGAGCAATCATCCTACTTAAGGATCATTGACCTGTAAGAATCACTCTGAAGATCCTAAACTCCTAAAGAAAACTAAATGCTGGAGTCAGGAAATCTGTGCTTTATTTTAGGAACATTCATATACTATTTAGTATAAAACAGGCAATCCTGTTAACATTAAGTAAACAATGAATAAACAAAGAGTAACACTGACCCAGGACCTGAAGCTGGGCCGGGCTGATGGGTGTCTATCCATCTCCTTTCATTTGTATGTATACTTTTAAGTTATGCTGTATTTATGTGTGGTAATGCATGTGTAGGCACATACAGAGGCCAGAGTTAGTGCTAGGATATTCTCTCCTCGATCATTTCAGTTAATTTTCTTGGGACAATCTTAGTTAACCTGGAGATAATCATTTCAGCCAGTGTCCACCACTTTGGGGTTACAGGTGTGCACAGCCAGCCTCACTTTATGTGGAAACTGAGGATCTGAATTCAGGTCCTCACGTTTGAACAGCAAACATGGCAACCACTGAGCAACCTACCCAGCCCCTAGAATCCATGTATAGTGTGTGGTCCCTGCACTCTCAAGGCTGAGGCAGGAGGATCCCAAATTTAAAGCACACATGAACTATACTGATACCTCAAAACCTCCCAAAAAAGACATAAAAGAAAGCCAAGTTCACGTCTACAATCACTAAATTTGGGTGGCTGAGTCAGAAGGATCACTATGTGTCTAAAGCCACCCTGGGCTACACAGTGAATACCAAGACAGTTTGAACCCAGAGCAAGAATGTCTCAAGACACATGCACATACACACACAGATTTATCTATATACACTTACATATAAAATAAATCATTGTCTTTTAAATGAGGGATACCTTGAAAAACGAAAACCAACTACCTTCAAAGTTATGATTACTTTTTAATCTTCTCTAAAGAGATATAAAAAGCTCAAAGGCCCAACCTTCCTCACCCCAAAGATATGATGCCAGGAAGTACCTAGTTAATTTTAATTCACAAAAGAGCACCAGGGACACATGGAGCTTTGACAGGGCAGCTCCTATATACATTTCCTGCTTCCTTTAGGAACACACTCGTATTCTGCTTCCTGCTAGTCTCCTTTTCCCCCATCTTTAAATAAATAGCTTCTGCTTAGTTGTGAGGCTTGGCCCTAACACAGACGTCACACCTGGCCTCTTGAACACTTTCACCAGCATCACCTCGAAGCCATAGTCATGTTAAAGGTTAGGAAAGGATGAACTGCAATGTAGCCAATCCGCTCCAAGAGCAAGTCCTGCTTGCTGCAAAACAGATCCAATGTGCTACACAAGACAGGTGACAGCTGGGAACACCAGAGAGATGACAGCTGCAAGCTGAATATGAGGGTAATCGGGGTAATCACCAGCCTACTGGGGAGGACTCTGAAGCTCTGTAAAAGGACATACACGATTTCAAAGAAGACAAGACGACACTCTGGATGATGATGAGCCAAGCCAAAGCAAGCAGACCATCCTGGGTGGCTCTTTTGTAGCAAGTAAGAGGGTGGGGACAGGCAGAGAGAGCTTGAAGGAAGGCAAAAAGGGAAAAGCTCTCCCAGTGTGACGTAAACCATTCCCAGTGCAATGTAAAACTGTTTGCCCAGAGGGTCTTTAAACTTCAGTTCCTTTGTTAAAACTGAGGCTGGACCGACAGCCTCCAAAACAATACAGAGAAACCCTGTCTCGTAAAAACAAAAAACAAAAAACAAAAAAAAACTGAGTCTGGAGCTGGGCATGGTGGGAAACATCTGCAATCCTGGAGCTAAGGTGGCAACAACAGGGGATCACTGAATTTAAGGATGGCATGGGTATAAAAAATCTTTCAGGCTAGTCTAGGCTTCACAGCAAGTCACTGTATTAACAGAAAAAAAAAAATACAAAACTATATTTGGAAAGTTGTCCGTAGTTCAAATCAAGCCAGCAGCCAGCTTCTCTACAGCATGAGCCACCTGCTGTTTTAACCTTTTTAAAGAAAGAAAATGGACTATTTGCAAAACTTAAGTAATATTTGCTGACACTTCAGAGGAAAACATTAACTCAAAGCCCTATATGAAATTATATCCCTTAATAGTTAAATTTAGTTCATATACCAGAGGTTCATATACTAATTTAAAAAAAAAAAACAGGAAATCCAATACTCTCTGACTAACTGGATGTAATATATTAAAAGTCTAGGCCTAAGTACTGTTGTCTGTCTTCAGGCTCTTGACTGGTAAGCTCACTTAATTTATATGGTAAAGAAATAGTTGGCAGTTGGTAAAAGGGGAAACTGTTTAATTTTAGAGCAATCTATAGGTTGTTGATATACTTTACCTAGTTAGTCTTTTCCAAATAATTCAGCAAACAGACTAAATCATTTTTTCATCACCTTTTTTGTAACCATATGATAATCACCACAGGAAACAATTTACAGGTATAGTTTAGTTTTTTTTTTTTCTCTCCCAAATAGAAGGTATGGGACCCCTGTGGCAGAGTGACAGAAACACTGGGGTTTTTTGTCAAGCTTTGCTTACTAATGACTTCTCCACACTCAGAACACTGTCTGGCATGCCTTAAGTGTTCAATAAGTGTTTATTATTAACAAAATAACACACAAGTGAGCAAATTATTGTTACTGAGGTACAGAGAGGATCAAAGATGTGGCTGCAAGCACATTCTAAGTGAAATGCTCTTTCCATGTTAGTGTCTATCTTTGGTTCAACTCTTTCAAGTGTGAGCCATCATTAGCTTCTGCAATTGCAACTAGAAATACAGTTCCAGATGATGTCTATGCCCAGAAGGATGACCCATATGCTTCAGGAGAACATAAGTAGAGCTCAGAATGTCTTCAGGATAACAAAATCTCCAGTTTTTCTAAGGACCCTATTGTCATTCTTTCAGACACTACGATTGTGTAAATAATAATAACGTACGAGCAAAATTCGGTGTCAGTTGAGTCTTTCTGACTTAAAAAAAAAGTTACTGTTTAACACTGCAGCAATTGAGTGCTAGAGGCCAAAGGTTCAACATTCACTACTGCCAAAGAGAAAATTGGGAAACGAGGGGCACTTCCTGGGTCGTACTCAACAAACAGTTACAGGTAGGGAAGTCCCACTCACCAGAGTATTTTGGACAGAATAAAATCTTTTGATAGGGCGTGTTGGAGATCAGTGGTCCAGTGCCATAGTCTTTCCATCAAGCGAAGGAAAACCTGTGATGCCCATCCACACTGCCGTCTTCAAAGTACCCCTAAGCAGGTCACCATCTCTCCCACCCGTTCTCCCCCACACCGAGACAGCTACTAGGACAAGGTACAAAAGGTCAGTCTCAAGGGGGTATTCTAGGCTCTGCACGAGGGGACCACCGACCTAAAGACCCCGGGAAACCTTCATCCACCCAGCTCGCAGCGTCACCTTCGGGGAGGAGCCAGAGAGCTGGGTTTTAGGCCACGCCCCCAAGGCTGTTCTCCCGCGAAAATTCGAAAAGTGCCGTTTGGACCCAGTTTGCCGCTTGTGACTGGAAAGCCACTCAGATGAGACAGGAACGGGTCAGGAGGGGCAGGCGACAGCAGGTCGCCAGGCCGGTACTTACCAGCGGGAGCAGCGCAGCAGCCTCTCCAGGCGGGCGAGCGCCGCGCGGCTGTGGGCCCAGGGGCCGCCGTCAGCCGGCTCCATGGCGGGCGCGGGAGAAGGCTTGTTCCCGGAGCGGACGGTCGGCGGCCTGCGCGGCATCCCCTAGGCGAGGAGCCGGGGGACGGCGGGAGGTCAAGCTTGCTCGGGTGCCGCACCCCGCTGCGCGCCGCCGGATCCCGCCGGACGCCTGGGGCTGGACTGCCGAAACGCGGTAAAATTGAGAGGCCACGCCCTCAGGGGCTGGGGGCGGAGACTCAGAGTTCCGGAAACGGAGGGGCGAGGCTTGCGGCCATGACCTCAGGGGTTGAAGAGCCGGATTGCTGGAACGCAGTGAAGGTCCCTGTGCGCCGGGATGAGAAGGCGTGAGTTGAGATCTCCACCTCAAGCCCCAGGAGGCGGGACATACCGAGCTCGAACTTCCGGAGAGCGAAACAGAGGAACGCGGCCCTAAGGCCACGCCCTCAACGTCAAGGGGCGGAGCTCCTCGTGGGTTTCTTTCCAGAGCCGGACTTGTGTACCTCCTACCCAGAAGTCCAACCACGCCCCCAGAAAGTTGACTCGGAAGCTTTCAGCAAAGGTAGGCATTTTCCTAACTGTTGAACTTGGAAAAGCTTTTCCCATGACGATAAAAGTACTTACCCTCTACATAAGAAATATGTCGTTTTCTCTTTGCTGTAAGATATAATGACCCGGTAAAAAGAAGGTTTCAATCTAATCTTTACCCAGCTGTAAATATTCGATCAAAGGCATGTCTTACAAGTTCCGGTTTACTTTTAAAATATGGAAAATTACGTAAGATGTTTTTGTTTGCTAAAGAGTGTCCCCCTTCCTCAGGGATTTTTTTTTAAAGCGGGGTCTTTTGTTTTCCAAACTTGCTTAAACTGTAGCTAAGGATGACCTTGAACTTCTCAATTGCTGATCTTACTCCAGGTGGTGAGCGATGTAGGATTACAAATTATGTACCACCATGCCCAGTTTCCTTGGAGCTGAATTGAGCCTAAGAGCTTCCTTCATTCTCGAAGCACTGTACCAGCCAAATCCCCAGACCTCCTTGGGATCTGAATATTTTACAAGCAGCACTAGGCAAGCAAAACTGAGCCCCTCCTCAGTTTCCAAGCTATTAACACATTCTTGAGTTTCCCCCTACTTTAATCTAAATCCTTCTTTCTCTGCTTAAAATCTCCAGCTGCATCTATTTCCCCAGAATTGTTGCTATACCTTCTTTCTGGGATCCACACATCTGCCTAGGTCTCCTCCAATCCTTAGACCTCACTAAAGCCATCTAACACTTTGTCAAACACAAAATTCGTCTTGGCACTACCCTGATTAATCTGTAAATATCAGCAAGGCGGATGGCAACATACCTTTTAACCCAGCACTCTGGATGAAGAGACTAGCCCTGCCAGGCCTTACCCTTCTGCCATTTGATTACATTTCTAAAGCTAGCCCCCAAGGTCTATTCCCTTATTTGGCCACTTCCTCCACCTAAGGCTGACAAACAAGGTCTAGCAATCAGAAGCCCCCTTTGGTTCACCTAATTAACATGACAAATTAAAATTAAACACCTCTTCCTAAAACACTTTATAGCCCTCCATTTGCCTGTATGCCTCCTCTGTCTCCTCTCTACCCAAAGGCAGTCCTTTGTCCCCTCAGGACAAATACCTCTCACCCCCCTTCCTTTGTCCCCTTCCCCTTCTCCCTTATCCTCTATCTCCTTTACCACCTCATCCTAGATAATTCTCTGACCCCTTCTAACACAGATGTCCCCTTTTCCTCCTCTTAAAAGTTACACCTGCAAGGTCATTTGTTGCTGTTTCTGCCTCAGTCAGAAAGCAGCTACTTTAACCTTTCTTCCCCTTAATAAAAACATCTCTCTGGAAAACAAGTGTTTAGGTGTGGTTTGTTTCTAATCCAGGGTCTGGAAGGGCGCCCTTGCAGTGCTGGAGTCCCTCTCACCAAAGACAGAGGCAGGTGGATCTCTTAGTTCAAAACCAACCTGGTCTACAGAGTTCCAAGACAGCCAGGGCTACACAGAGAAACCATAAAAATAAAACTCTAAACGTATTTCCATGCAATCTGATAAGATGGCCTGTACCAACCTGGGAAACATACCATTGTTATTCCCATGGGGTCTTCAAGTCATCGAAAATCTCTGTCTTGCTGCCACTGGGTTTTTTACACAAAAATTCACTTTGGAACCTGGAATTTTCCTCTTAAGTTAACCAGGTTCCTTCAGATCTTCAAGAACAAGAGTTCTTGAAAGGTTTTCCTGATCCTCCATTTAGATTCTCCCATGTGCTTTTTTTTGTTTTTTTGTTTGTTTGTTTGTTTAGTTGTTTTCCAAGACAAGCTTTCTCTGTATTGTTTTGGAGGCTGCCCTGAAACTTACTCTGTAGACCAGGTTGGCCTCAAACTCACAGAGATCCACCTGCCTCTGCCTCACAAGTGCTAGGATTAAAGGCATGTGCCACCAATGCCCAGCTCCCATGTGCTTTTAACATCACAGTTTGTAGCATGTATATTTATATGAGTATGTCTCCCATCTTCTCCCTCCAAGGCACAAAAGGCCAGAGATTCACTACATCTGTCTTTTCCTGTTCCTTAATATAGTGCTGGGATGTCCATGTAGTGTGGGACTCTAAATCAGGTTGAAGACTTGAATTCATATGCACCAGTGTAGGGAAAAGGGACCAGTCAAAGAAACACACCCTGAGCAGAGCCAAAGAAACACACTTTGGCCCTGCAACCAGAACCAAAGAAATGTACCCTGACCCTAAAACCAGTGCCAAAGGAACACACTTTGTCCCTGGAATCAGAGTCAGTGAAAGAAATGTACCCTGGCCCTAAAATTGGAGCCAAAAGGCTAAAAAGGACTAGAGAAAGAAACACACTTTGGCCCTGAAACCAGAGCCAAATCTGACCCTAATCCTGTGTAAAAACGTAACCAATCCCGGAGCAGAGCTCTAGCCAATCTGAGCTCAGCACTGAAATCGGACCAATCCCAACTCTGGAAAAACTTCCCCACCCCCAAGAATCCCTATATAAACCCTGTGTATGTTCAGCTTGGCTGGTCCAGCTGTCTTCCAATAAACCCCTTGGATGAGCTTCGGGTGAAGATCTTTTGCGGCGGCGACAAAGCAGAGGCGACCCTGGGCATAGCATAGCGAGCAGCGCTGTAACACTTGCCCGGGAAACCTTCCTCGGCAGAGCGGAGTTTTACACTCTGCTCCCCGCTCCCCTGCAGTTTTACACTCTGCTCCCCGCTCCCCTGCTCTCCAGGAGCAGAGCTGAACTGTAGCAACTTCGCCCGAGAAACCTCCTGCGTAGCAAAACTGCTACACTAGGCGAACATCCCCAGCTGGAAGACCCTGTCCTGCTGGGCAGAGCTGATACAGCGGAGAAGCCTTTCTCTGAGGCAAGGCTGTAAGCTGCCAAGCTTACTGCAACCTGTGGTGGTCCTTGGCTCCCGAGCTCCAGGATACCTTTCCACCTGAGCTGTGTAACACTCAGTATTCTGTGACTCCCGAGTGCCAGAATACCTGGCCCACTCCTGTTCCATCCTGTCCCGACCCATCCCGAAATGCTTACAACCAGGTCTATTGTAAATGCTTCACTTAACTATCTGCTTCAAGCCTTATAGCGTACAACTTGGGACTGAATCATAGTGTCTGTCACAAGTTCATGAGCTGAAACCCTAGCCACTAATAGGATGGCATTTGGAGGCAGTGCCTGATGGAAACACTTAGGTTTAAGTGAGATTTTGAGAGTGGAATTGATGAACCAACCTGTATTAGGCTTGAAAGCCATCTTACAGTAAAGACAAACCAGCTTCGTTCCTGTTTATGATTAAACTTCTCTTTCTCAAGGTATGGGCTATGTCCCACCTGTAACCCCAGCTACAAATGGTTCTGTACAGTCTGTTCCATGTCACAAACGTCTTTGTCTCAAAAAGTTGTGACCATCTTGCAACACCTACCTCTGTTTCAAAAGGTTGTTATGAAAACCTTTTTATGACTACCTCGCAGTCATTTCTTTGTTTCAGGAGCTCATTATGACTAACTTTGTTATGCTTATGTTCTGCTCCTATAACCCCACCTATTTTCTCCACCAAATGCCCCATTTGGAAACTCCCTATCCCTGAACTATGAAAACCTTGTCTTCCTGGTGTCTAGTGCTGACCTTTAGAACCTTACCCTAGGGGGAGGCAGCCATGTATGCAAATAAAAATGTTTTCTGTAATTAGTTTGACCATAGTGATCTAGTGGTCTTTCTTCTCCCATCTTTGAGATTAACAGAACCACCATAATCTTCAGGTGAGGAAGAATTTGCTCGCTTTCTACCACAGAAGAACACAGAAAGTGGGGAAACTGCTCATCTGAACCTGGCCATGCTGACAGCGACCCTGGATGTGTCTTCAAGGCTGTCATAAATTCCGATGCTTTGGTCACCAAAACTATGATTTTGTCATAGCAGCCCAGCCAAACAAAACCCTTTGTAAAAAGAAGCATTTAGGGTGGGGCTCAGAGATGTTAATTTTTGACCCTGATGCTTTTATTTTCAGAGCAACTTCAACAATCCTCTATGTTACAAAGGCCCAACAAGTTTGAGTGACTTAGCAAAAAATCCACCACTTGAACAAAACTAAAATCAAATCCCAGTCCCAACCCCACCTCTAACCCCTGTGACTCTATCACTGAGTCACATCCCAACCTCTCCTGTTGGGGCTCATAAAGCTTTTCATGAGACTTTAATACAAACAAACTCACCACACAGTTTTCTGAGACTCAGAGAAGTTAGTCCCTGATCACAAACTCGGTCAAGCCATTGCTTACTCTTTGCTGAACCTCAGGATAATCAAGTCCTAGGTAACTTCAAATGTTAAAACTAAGAAAGCCACTGCAGCGTTCACTACAGTAAACAGGTAATTTCAGGACTCAGTTCCACTATAATCCCATATGAATGTGTAACCTATATCAAATTTTCATTTTTGAGATAGGGTCTTGCTATGTAGCCCAAGCTGATTTGAACCTTTCATCTTCCTCCCTCAGCCTCTTGAGTACTAGGATTATGGACGTAAGTCAAATCTTCAACTCTCTAAGCATTAATTTTATCTGAAAAAATGAGAACAATAATTAATATAGATTTTTGATACTATCACAGGAGCATAAGTGTGAATCCACTATAATGATAAGCATCCTAGAAGTGATAGCAGTGAGGACAATCCCATACTTATTAAAGAAGAACATGGAACACATCTATCAAATGCTTTTTTAATGATGGCACTATTTAACTGTGATCAGGGTAAATGAAAATTTCACATTTTGTAAAATACTTTTGGGAACAGATGATTGCAATTGGGCCATTTCTGCAATGCTGCCGAAGCAATTGTGATGCGAATGCAATGGGTTTTCTGCTAGTTTCCTGGTTTCTTTCCCTCTGCCATGGCCCAGATACCTCTCTGCAGGGCTCATGTCATTCTCGTGGCTGTGTAATGGTGGTAATAGCAGCCTTAAAAAGAATAAACAAGGTTACCCTCCTGTCTATACCTGTCCATCCCATAGCTTCCAGCTCACTCTG